CCATTTAAATGACAGGGTGGTGAAAACATGCACCTTTATTTAAAAGGTTTAGTTAAGTAGATACATGCAGCTTATATATGAATCCAGGACTTTTCACACACACACTCCTTCCACGTGTCCAGTGAAGATTAAAGTGGTAGTTTCCAAAATGACCACTAGAGGGCACACAAATTTTCTTTTTTCTTTCTTTTTCTTTTTTTCTTTCTCTGTATCTCTGTCTTTGTCTCTCTTCCCTTCTTCCTTTCTTTCCTTTTCTTTTTTTTTAATTCCCAAAGAAAGAGCCTGTATGGGTTCTAGCCCTGAGGTTCGGAATTGGAGTGTTCTTGCCCACTTTCTATTCGACCTGGGACAAGTACAGTGAGCCCTCAAGTTCTCTCTCTCCACCAAACCACACCCCCTGTGGTGATGCTTCCTCCACTATAAGGAAGACTTATTGGCTCATAAACCCACATCGATTTGGTTTCTCTTTCCAGTGTTTGTCTGTTAGTCATTTTAGCAGAAATCGAATCCAAGTTCGATGATGAGAAGAAACACTGATTTCTTCAGTGAATGGATTTGTCTTCCCATTTCCCCCTCGCTGTGAGGAAAATGTCCCTTTGAGCAGTTACAGCAGCTCCCCCAGCTACAGACTGTCTTTGTGGGGTCAACAGGAGCCTCCTGAGCAGAAGGCTTGGAAAACCTAGTGGGTCCCTTCTCTTTGGCACATTGAGTTTTGGAGACCTCTAAGTCCTGTATTCTGTATACAAGCTCTTCACCTCAGGCAAAGGCTCACACTCCAGAGCAACTGCCCCTATAAAGAAAGACCCAAGAGAGACACCAAGATCTTTACCAAGGCTTCTGCCTGGTGGCCTTTGGGACAACAGAGCCCCCTCCTCCAAATCTCTACCCGGAGCTTCTCTCCTCCTTCCCACTCTGCCTTGCTCTCCTCTCTTGGCCCTAAGTGGTTCTTCTCCTCACGTCACGTGTATCCCATTATCCTCTTTGTCTTCTCTTCCCACTTATTCCAGATATTTCTCTCCTTCAACATTCCTTTCTGCTTTCATACACACACACACACACATACACACACATACACACACACACATACACACATAGATTGACATTAATGTCAGTAACAGCAGTAAAGACAAAAATTTACATGCCCAACAGTGCAAACATGCAACGTGACCTTTGATGGTGACCCCTCCCCAAGGAACACAGAGAAAACTGGCACTCTGACTCAAGCAAAAAGGCCAGGGCACCAGGTATTACCCCATTTTCGGCGGCTATCAAGCAATCCTCACTTTCTGAGAATGAACAAGTTCATTTTATTTATCTTTTAAAGAAAGGTGTCAGAAGCCTTCTGGAGCTGTGGCTTTATGCAAATGGACCACCAGGCAAGGGGAAGGCTGGAGCGAGGGCTATTTATAGCCTCCCACAGGCATTACACATGCAAAAGGTGAGACTGTGAGCCTGTCGCTCAGCTCCGGAGTGGATGTTCTCATGGTGAGCGCATCTTTGCAGCTAGCTATTTTTGTGGCACACGGTTCCCATAGCTGTTAGATCCTTTTTCCAGACAGACAACTATATAAGCATCCGGTAACTTCAGAATGGCCACAGACAGTCCTCTGCAGGGGGTTTCCTGACCCCATCTCTTCCTAGGTACTAAACTTACTACCACCTTCAGCTTCCGCAGTGGATTCGTACCTTGTGGCCTCCCCTACACAGGTCCCTCACCCTATCACTACACAGGTACCTCACCCCATCACTACACAGGTACCTCACCCCATCACTACACAGGTACCTCACCCCATCACTACACAGGTACCTCACCCCATCGCTACACAGGTACCTCACCCCACCACTACACAGGTACCTCACCCCACCACTACACAGGTACCTCACCCCATCACTAAAGACCCTCTATCTTCGCATTGACACTTGGACTTTACAAAGAAAATGGAGAGGCCCCTGGAATCGTGGTTCCCTGCTCTGTTGCTAGCTCACCCTCCCTGCTAACACAGATGATTCTTCGGTTTGAAATGGATGTGAATCCCTTCAGAAAATTGCTGCGCCCCTCCCCCCGCCATAGGAAACTGATAGTTCACATCGGAATGTTTCCACAGCACAGCGGATGAGAATTACAACACACGGAAATTCAGTTGTCTTTGATAGGGACATAAACTGGAACATAAATTGAAACTCAATTATTTTTTAAGGGTAATTGGGGTTATAAAGTCAAGTGAATCCCTGTGTTGTCGACACTGCCCTAGTGCAGGTCTGTGTTCTGTCCTCAGAGCGGCCTTTCAGACGAAGCGGCCGAGGATAACTGATCTGTGCTAGGCACAGCATGACATCACAGCACTGCACAGCACAGCAATGCACAGCACACAGTGCACAGCACAGCTCTGCACAGCACAGCTCTGCACAGCACACAGTGCACAGCACACAGTGCACAGCACAGCACTGCACAGCACAGCACACAGTGCACAGCACAGTGCACAGCAGAGCACAGAACAGCACACAGTGCACAGCACAGCACTGCACAGCAATGCATGTCACAGCGGTGCACAGCACAGCACTGCACAGCACAGCACTGCACAGCACACAGTGCACAGCACAGCAATGCATGTCACAGCGGTGCACAGCACTGCACAGCACAGCACTGCACAGCACACAGTGCACAGCACAGCAATGCATGTCACAGCGGTGCACAGCACAGCTCTGCACAGCACAGCAATGCATGTCACAGCGGTGCACAGCACTGCACAGCACACAGTGCACAGCACTGCACAGCACACAGTGCACAGCACAGTGCACAGCAGAGCACAGCACTGCACACAGTGCACAGCACAGCACTATATGGCACAGCACACAGTGCATGGAACAGCACAGCACTGCACAGCACACAGTGCACGGCACAGCACAGCACTGCATGGCAACAGCACAGCCACAGTGCATGGCATAGCACAGCACACAGAGCATGGCACAGCACAGGACACAGTGCATGGCACAGCACAGCACATTACTGCACAGCACAGAACAGCGTAGCACTACACAACACAGAACAACATGGCACGGCACATCACATCACAGTGATCGGAAAGCATAGGAGCCCGAGTCACAAACTTGGAGAATAATAAGCTTCCAGAACGTATTGAGACAACTGCACTGGGAAGAGGTGATTGGCAGTGCTTGTTTACCTGTGAAGCGACCCAACAGTAGACCAAGGAAGGGGCTGCTACCTGGGCTCCAGCCTGGATTTGATTTTTCCTGCTATAGAAACTAAGAAGCTCTCAACAGGTCTTTAGTTCCAGGTTATGTACATCATCAAAGTCCTTAAGAGGGGGATGGATGTTTTTACAAAAAAGAAAATGATTTCTATAAGTTGTCATAAATCAAGTGCTCAACGAGAGCTAGCTAGAGGAAGCCTTGGGTTACTCTGTGCACAGGGTTGCCCCCACAGCTGCAGACATGCCAGGACCACCTGGTGATGCTGCAGGGTTGCCCCCACAGCTGCAGACATGCCAGGACTACCTGGTGATGCTGCAGAATCATGTGTTCTCTGGGTCAATCCCAGGCCCATGCCTCTCACAATACATTCTCTCCTCCCCCATCCTCCAAAAGAGGTTTTCCCTCCCACCTCCCTGAGAAATTGTTGCCCTCTCCCACTGTGCACTGCCCATATATCTTAAAGCCACACATGCTCCACACATGGCAGTGAAGTTTCTCTCTGTCTGCCTGTTTCGTGTCCCCTTTGACTTCTCTGGAGGTATGTGTAGTTGTGCACACAGTAGGTACCCTCATCAAATGATACTACCATCACCCACCACTGCACCAGTCCAACTCCAGGTTTCCAGCGCCTGTGTCTGAAAGGTAAACATTGCCATAAAGTATTGACCACACCGAGGGTTGGAACAAGCCCAAACCCCTTGCAAAACCAAGCTGGTTTCATTTAAGGACATCTACCTCTCCAAGCAGATTTTCAGCCATGGGCAGCAGAATGAGGCAGTGTATAGCTGAGCTCTGTCTGTCTCCACTGATGTGTCAATATCTTCAAATCCCCCCAGAGTCATGAGAGAGCGAGGGGAGTCGGGCTCGGCTCATTTCCATCCCCCCTGGAAACCACACCTAGACAGACATCCAAGGAAAGCACACTGTCTAGTCGGGGCTTTGGTAGCTTTCTTTCGTAATTTGCTTCCTTATCTATTGCCTCTCGAAAGCACTGAGAAATAGGTACAAACCGTATCGACAAAAGATCAGAACATGATTCTCTATGGCAAAGGCAAGTGAGTATACATTATAAATAGTGAAGCAGCCAGCTTGAACCATGCTGCCAGCCACTTTACCCAGTGGAGGGATTTGAATGACATCATAACTCTGGAGAGGGTATTGCTAGCCAGCTGGTATTATTTGGAATACACACACATAAAAAAAAAAAGAATGGAGAAAGAAAACACAGCCACCACACACACACACACACACACACACACACACATGCCGAAAAAACATGGACAACAGTGTGTGTGTTGTGTGGTGTGTGTGTGTGTGTGCGTGTGTGTGTTGTGTGGTGTGTGTGTGTGTGCGTGTGTGTGTGTGTTGTGTGTGTGTGTGTGTGTGCCTCACATACTGTTTCCTTGGGGCTGAGGAGGTGACATGCAGCTGGCTTTGTTGAAAAATAAGATCTTTTTATTTGTCAGTTGGTTTCAGAGCTCAGCATAGTCTTTTTCTCTGCACAAAGCGTGATCCAGTGTCCTAATGAGAGCCAGCCCGCTGCTGCCTGCCTGTCTATAGGTTTTAGGAAATGAGATCATTCCCCTCGCTTGGCAAGTAGGGCGAGGGGTCACCGGAGCCCTGGCTTTCCTACCAGCTCAGCCTGGTCACTTCAGGGTTAACATCATCGGACTTTCTGGAGACGATCTTTTCTTCCTTTTTTTTTTCTTCTTTCTCAAATTCAGTATTTACCCTAAAATATAAAATTGCTCCGCTACCCCATTTGGATCCTCTGATCCCGATAAGGTGTATTGGCAGGCACGTGTACCTTCGTGCCCTGTGGAAAGTTAATCCGAGAACAGACCCTATTCTCTACGGCAGCATCAGTATTTAATGTCTGCTAGCCCTGTCAGTAACACACATTCTTTTAAGGGGAGAGAAAAAACGCTTCTGTGCTCCAGTTTTGAAAAGCAAAGGTATGATGTTATTCTGTCACCGTGCCCAAAAAAGTCCTTACTCGATAACTTTGCCAGAAGAGGGAGAGAGAGAAGGCGAACGCTCCCCCAGCTGTTTCCTGTCTACAGCGTCTGTGTTTTGTAGATAAATGTGAGGATTTTCTCTAAATCCCTCTTCTGTTTGCTAAATCTCACTGTCACTGCTAAATTCGGAGCAGATAGAGCCTGCGCAATGGAATAAAGTCCTCAAAATTGAAATGTGACATTGCTCTAACATCTCTCGTCTCTCTGGATTTCTTTTTGCCTCATTATTCCTGCTCACCAATTCATTTCCAGACTTTGCACTTCAGAAGCGATGGGAAAAGTCACCGGTCTTCCTGCTCAATTATTTAAGTGCTGCTTCTGTGATTTCTTGAAGGTAAATATCTCTTATTCTTCGGAGTCATTGGGGGATTGTCTTTAAACTGTGCGCTGTTTCCTTTTGCCTAGAAGTGTTATTCGCTTTAGAATTTGCATTGTTTCAGAAACTGGGAGTTATTTACAAATTGCTGAATGTGCAGTTCTGCGCGAGCTGTGGAAGGAGCTCCGGGAGATGAATGCAATTGCAGGGATATCTGTACGGGTAGAAACTATTGCAAGGTACTTACGCTAAACCCTCCACTTCTACGGGGCTTCCGCGCTGCCGTTTTTAAGAGGTTCCTTTAAATCTTGCCTATGGCTCGGGGCTAGAAAGCCTAGATGTGAACTTGGGTTGTGCTTTTCTTTCACAGGTGCAGGCGTTCGCTTTTTAAGACCATGTCCGTGTGTGTGTCTGTCTCTATGTATGTGTGTGGAATTTGTCAGGACTTTATTTATGAGGCTTGTCACAGATTAAAAAGTTACATTTTAGACGATAGGAACGCTGTTTAAAAATGCCTCTTGGAGCCAAGAATCAGGAATTCTTTGCACTTATGCCCAGAAAGTCAAAGTTAAAGTGAAGTTTAATTTGCTTTCCTGAAAAAAAGGGAGCTCTTAGACAACTTGCTGCCTCTGCATATTCGGAAAATTTAAACAGATCCACGCTGTGCCGGGAGAGCGGGAGCCTTCTGGAGGCTGCTTGTCCAACTTTTCTCTTTGGAAGGGGACTTTGGTGGACTGAGTTTGGGCTTGGATTTCGGGCTGCAAGCCTCTGCTCTTACACGGGGTGCAGTAAAGTGTCTTTAGGTGAATCTGGCTGCGGCCGCCGCTGTCAACACACTGACTTCTCCTTTCTGATCACTGGCTCTGGTTCAAGTTTCCATTCTCAGCAAAATTATATCCTTCCAGACTTGTTTTTTTTTTTTTTCAGTTTGCAAGCACTTTTAAGCCACTGTCACTGGCTCCTTGGAGGCAGTTGCCGGAGGGCTTAATTCATAAAAGATCCCAGCCACAGAGCGCAGCGTTCCTTCGCTGCGGACTTTTTCTTAGGCAAGTAAGTGGCTTGGGAGTTAGGGAGACAACCTTTTCGAGTGCCTAGCTCTGCCATCCTTGAGATGCCTGCGGGCTCCAACCACCTTGCAGTTATGAAGTCAGCGTTCATATAGGCTGTGTGGTCTGGCAGCTGGGCTCGCGTCTCCCTATTTAAAGGGCTTATCAAAGAGGCTGTGGCATGTTACCTCGGCATTCCCTGCAAGTTTGGAAAATCATCTCCAAATGAACTTTCTTTCCATGCTGGGTCTGCAAGGCATTTCCGAAGTGGAGCTAGCCACACAGCTTCAACTTTTTCCTGTCCTCGCAGCAGGAGTTGGTTGAGGGGAGCTGCTGCGTGGTGGTCTTTGAAATGTAATTCAATGAGCTGAGGTCAACCGCTCTTGAGCAGTGCACACTGGGCACAGGCTGGCTTTGTACTCTGGGGCTCAAGGTATTTCCCAGGGCTTGAGTCAGGGGAAGGTGGGGAAGGAGCTGGAACATAGCTCACTATTCTGGGTAGCTAAGATACATGGCCATACAATGTAAATCAGAGGCTTCACTGTGGGGGGGTGGGGGATATCAGGAGTGAGGGGGGGATTGATTCAACTCCCAGCTGTGCAATTTGCTCGTTGTTTGAATGGACAAAAGGCAGTTTACCCAGGCTGGTAGCATACCTGCCTGGGTGTCCAAATCTAACTAGATGCTTTCACAAACCCCACCCACAAAACAGCACATGTTTTTAAGTCCTGGGTTTTCTATTCACATCGGCCTCATAATACCCCACCCGGACCTGCTGTGAAAACGACCTGGGACATACCCAAATGACGGAACCTCCAGTGAGTACCTTCTCGTGGCTCCGACCCTCCCGCTTCTGCCAGACATTCTCAGGGCCGGCCAGACAACTGGAATCAATTGCTCTCCCACTCGGTTAACACACAAGAGGTCTCTGGAAACGTGGATTTGTGGATGATCTTTGAGGAAAGCGTTCTGAGTTCGGGATTGGGTTTTTTTCACCCTCTCTTTCCCAGGCTCTTCCTTGACCTCTTCCTAGCGCATCTATGCCTTCTCTCTAGTCGTTTTCCCTGCGGTTGATGAAATAGGGGGCCGAGGAAATGGAGAACATATGGGGAGACTTGTTTTGGACTTTTCTTAGTTCCTAAGCACGTTCGTTATTGTTTTCTGTTTGGGGAACACGGTGTGATAAACTCCGACTCCCTGTGGGTATGCTGGACTGGTCTCTGAGCTAAAGGAAAATGTACCAGAGGTCCTAGAATTGTAAGTACTGATACTTATCAGTGTTTTTTCAGTATAATCCCAGATCCCATGCAGAAAGGAAAAGGAAAATTGGTAAAAAGCAATTTTCAGTTTTTAGATTCTAGAGATGTATATGCCTCGCTGTACTTAAGTGTACTCTCCCTTGAACTATTAAAATGTAGTCTATGACAGCTTGTGGCAGTCTAAATTCACCAAGGCTGTGAGACTGAGTAATAGCTCCTGTGGAGTTGGTCCAAGCTAACCATTGCAGGTGTCTGGCCTTCACCACGATCCAAAATAACTCCGCGGGGCTAGGGGGCGGTGTTTCAGAACCGGGTTTGCTGAAGAGTTATTCATTCTAGAGTGGACCCGCTGCCAGAGTCTTAGGGGCATGTTCCCTAAGACCAATTATGGGGATGACAGGGCTGCCCCTTTCACAAACCCAGGAAGCCCTGTTGGGTTGGATCTGTTCAGGTTTCCATGAGGAATACTAAATGGGAACTCCCTGTCATTCCTTTCATGACCAAGGGAAATGAGTAGTTGTTAGCTCATTTCTAGGAAACCTGTGTCTTTGGTTGTATAGAGTTGGAGGGCTTCCATGCCGACGTCCTAAGGAGGGCTTAACTGAGGTCATCCCTCCTCCGTAATTGCATGTCCTCTCTCATGAGGATCTGTCACTAGAGTCCCCCTGTCGTTCTTAACTGCTTTCCAAGCACTTACTGAATATTTACCTTGTGCTATTGAGAATCAGGGACTTGGCTCCCTGCCCCCTCCAAATGCTAGGCTGAAGAAGACCTAGCCACAGAATTGGAAATTTGTCTAAAATAATTGAGCAACATTTGCCAGGGATGCAGAACCATCAAGTTGAAAGTTCACATAGGACAGAGAAAGTGACCATAAACGAAATACCTGGGTCTCAAACTCCACACCTGATGGGATTGCTTGAACTTTCCCCAACTGTGAGGTTCAAAAAAAAAAAAAAAAAGCATCTTTTAAAAAAATCTAGCTTCCGGGGCAGCTCCGTGACCCCTTTCACCGAGCAGGTCACCTGATCCCATGTCGGTGACTCCTTCTATGCTGCCCAAGTGTGTGTGTCGGAAGGAGGCAGAGCTGCTCACCTTGGGAGCCTCCCTGGAAGAACGCTCATGCTGGCTCCACAAGTGGCAATGGGGAAAGAAGTATTTGTCTGTCTTCCTATTCGTCTGCTCCTTAGAAGGAAGAGAGACCTGAGTCACAGGAGCCCTGACTTTGGCGCGCGACCACTGACTAACTTGTGCCAACTGGAGGTCCCTTGATAGATTTTGTTATAAAATTGATAGAACGACACATGAATGCCTCCCAGAGATTAAGTCAGAATTCCCGCTGCTCAACTAAAGGCTCTGGCAGGTTTTTAAGCCCAGTGCCCTGCACTGTCTGTGTGGACCCCTCTGGTAGTGAACTGAAGAGAAGGACTTTAGAATGTAAAGCATTACTTTTATTTCCTGTTAAAGCTAAGAAAAATGATTGCTAAACTCCCTGACCTTCTCCCCTTTCCTGCTTGTTTCTCCCCCCCCCCCAGGCGGGCACAGAGACTAGAAACCCTCTTCCCAAAGCAGCCATAAAACACAGACATTTGCTTCTAACCCCCCCAGACTTTCTGTCGAGGAGCTGGCCAAAGCAGAATCAGCTGTCTGCCTTGTCTGATGGCAGATGGTTGGCCCCTTGTTCCAGAGCGGCCCTGAAGCCTATACTCAGGACTTAGGAACGTTTCCCAAGGGGGCAAAGGATGATCAGGAGAGGCAAGGCATGCTGGGGTTCCACCCAAGACTGCTGCCATTAGACCCTAACTCTACCCAGAGTCCATTCTCCATTGAACTAAAACAATCAGAGGGTTTTTCCTCATTTTGGAGTCTTTCTCCTAACGGCACTTTCCTCATCTAAACCTTTAGTTAATAAATAAGGACATCGTGACTTTCTCTTGTCACCCTGCATTTTGGTATAGAGCTACAGACTATATGACCTTCGTGGTGTTTAAGGAAAGGCATCAGACTTTTCTGTCTCTGTGCTGTGAGAGAGATGATGTCATTCCTAAATCCTCATGTCTCCCCCTGTTTCTGGATTGGTTGTTTGGTTTCCACTTATGGCTGTGTTGTCCGCTAACATTCTCAGGTAAGTCACCTCTTCCCCCACCCTCACGCTTCCCCCGCCCCAGCTCCTCTCTGTCTCTGAAATGATGTTTTTCACAATTCCTTTCCGACCAGTATAAAAAAAAAATCTTCTTAATCTATGGACAGAAAACAATACCCTGGTTAATTTAGTAATTTTGATCAATAACAGATATGAGTCTATGTACCATCTGCAGGTAGTCATGCTTTAGAACACTTAAAACACTGTGACCGCAAAGCTGAGTGTATTTAACTATTGATAATCGAGGTGCTTTATTGGGCTTTCAGAATTGCACGGGAATCCCCTCACTAAAATAACTGCCATCTTTTGTCATGCAGCAAATGTTTGTAGTCTTTTACCCCATTTATTTGTAATAGGAACTCATAAAACCCACAGGAGACCTTCTGAAAAATCAAAGGGACTAAACATGGGGTGTCTGATGTCAAGGCTGGCTGGGGCCAGGACCTGCAGGGGTATTCATGCCTCTTCACGCACCATTGCTCCTCTAGGCCAGATAGTCTTGATGAGTGACAGCGAGGAGAGCCTGCGAGTAAAGGTGTTCAAGTCCCACCCATTCCAGACCCACCAGGATCCCTGACCCTCTGTGCTTTCTCTCTGCAGATAAAGATGCACGCCATGTCGTCCTCCCATCTCTTCTACCTGGCCCTCTGCTTGCTCACCTTCACCAGCTCTGCCACAGCTGGACCTGAGACCCTCTGCGGGGCCGAGCTGGTGGACGCTCTTCAGTTCGTGTGTGGACCAAGGGGCTTTTACTTCAGTGAGTAGCCCCTCCCACGCCCACTCCCATCACCCTTCTTCTCTGGGCTACTGCAGTTCTCAAGTGTATGATTATGTGGGTTCTCAACCGCAGAGACTGGGGGAATAACCTGATGACAGACTGGCTGGCGGCCATCCTCAGCCCCTGAGGTCCCTCCCCTTCCTCAGCCCCTGAGGTCCCTCCCCTTCCTCAGCCCCTGAGGCCCCTCCCCTCAAAGGACAGGTAGCATTTCAGCAGGACGTCGGCAGGTTTGGGGGATTTAGGGTGGAATTTTCTTCTGTAAGAGTTTGTCTTTAACTACTTCCCCTTCTTCGTGAGCCCTTCTCCAACTTTTATGGTGTACCCCACTCGCCTATCCCTTCTAAAGAAGACTAGGACAGAGCAACCCTGGAGCAGTGGAGATTTCATTCTTAGACCTTTGGGGGACATACAGGAATACTTTGAGTGTTCCGTGATTCAGAGGGAAATGAGAAGGCTCCCCTACTTCAAATTCATGCCAACTTGAGAAACTAAATTGTGAACAAACTAGATGTCACCATGCGATACAAAGTCACCATGAGTGGACAAAAGGCGATCTCCGCCAAGACATGGTTGCAAATATGGAGGCTTCTTTAACTGCACACTGGGGTAGCATACTGATATACAAACTAACCTTGAGATTTTAATCACTGCCTCCCTTTAATATAGTTCTTCTCTGGGTGTCATATCCACCTGGAGAGGACTCTTTGAAAAACTCAATGGTGTATATCATAAGTCTCAGACAATAAGCAACCCAACAGTCAGTGAGAAAGAGGCCCCAGAGTCAATGTCTGTAACTAACACACACCAAGTTACCATGGCCACCAAGGCCGATGATCACTTGAAAACAATTCACTTCACAGTATATTATAAGGCAGCGGAACACAGAAAGACAGATGTGAACTGTATACATGTCTTTGGAAGCTTAAACAGTTCCCAGAAACTGGGCATGGCTCCTTCTCCAGGGTTCCCGTCACACACGTACAGACGGATTACCTCGGTGACCCACCAAGCTTCACAGGGCTCCTGTGAAGATTCACATTCCAAAAGTCTCTCATGTTCCCTCCAAAAGTCAGTTCTCTCTTGAGCAGGTGTAATGGTGGTGGCTTGTGTGATGTGATGTGATGTGGGGTCTGTGTGTGTGTGTGTGTGTGTGTGTGTGTGAGAGAGAGAGAGAGAGAGAGAGAGAGAGAGAGAGAGAGAGAGAGAGAGAGAATGAGCAAAAGTTTATGCCTACAGTCTGGAGGTGGGCAAGGGAAGTATTAAGGAGACTGGCAATGTGTATTGACCGTGGTTTTGGCAAAATAAACTGAAAAAAAAGACAGGGGGCAGAATATCATCAAAGAGTCTAACATGCTTTTAGCTGTTTGCATGGGGAAATGGTCACTTTTGCTTCCGGGCAGTCCTTTATTTGAATAAATCCACTTAAAATTCCAGAGAGAAAAAGCTTTCATCTAGTTCTTGGTTGCAGGGTAAGTGAATAAGTTCCTCGGGTAGGGGAACTGTTTTGCCTTTAAAATCATTCTGTAGGCTGTGAACGTGAGCCGTTGGCGTTACGGAACTATGAGCTATAGTTTGTTGCGATTGAGCCACGTTTTCACTTTGAAAAGTGTGAACGGATCTCACCTCTGATTCCCAAGGACTTTGGCTTGTCTGGGCAACTCACTTGTGCAAGTTCCTTTCTCCCAGCAATTTCCACACCTGTAAGTGCCCTCTGCCTAGTGCCAGGCTGCACTGTAAAAATCATCATGATGTCCTCCAGGGTTTCCAAGTGTGGTCCACGACTACTGGGCTTTCTACGCCTGTGATGGGTGCAGTAGGTGTGTTCAAGTTAGACTTTAATAATTTAAAATGAAAAGAATCCATAGAGCCACTTGATATTTCAAGGAGGAGTCTGATCATGTGTATCTACCATGGTTTGGGCAAAATAAAATACAAAAAGACAACTGACAACATCGTCAAACAATTCTGGGTAGAGAAACGGCTTTGTGAAGCATGCTATTGTCAATTCTGTCATTGAAAGTATTTATTTTCTTTTCTAAGCTACATTCTGTCTTATAGGCTTCCAGGATTTAAGCTAAATCCCCTGCCTGCTTTGTTCTTTAAGCACAAAGGTATTCCTGATAGGTTTCTGTCCAACACCACAGTCCTCTCTACCTGAGAAAAGCTGGTCCTTTCCAGCTGTTTTAGGTTATGTCGGAACACTGGGGGGGGGGGGGGCTGTGCTGTGCACAAGGCACAACTTGATGATGAGTGAGAGACCGACCTTGCCTTCAAAGCAAGAAGTCTAGACTAGAAGATGCCATAGGCTGTAGGAGAAAAGAGCCTTGGGAGAAGAGTTTACATTCTTAATGCTTTTCCTGAATATTCCATCTCACTTACGACATGTCTCCATGAGGCTCTGCCCTCTAAATAATAAGTAAATAGCTGTAGCTATTCATTGTTGAAGACTGGTGTCAAGTTCAATGCCTGACTGATACAATAGTTGCTGGTATTTATCAATTTGATAATGGCAAGGTGGAATCCAGGTAAACTCAATACAACTGCTTCTGTGGGACTCTCGTAGTAAGAACCACCAAGAATTATGACAGCCAAGCATTTTAGGACATGCTGCTCCCCTCATGCCTTCCCAGTTATTTGATGAAACTGTTTTGCTTTTTCCCCACTGGATGCAATGTGTGTATACCAACAAGAACTTAGAAGCTGTACTTTGGCCATCCCTAAGCTACACTGATGGCCCGTTTTGTTCCTGAGCCAATTATTCTTACAGGCATTAACTGTTGTCAACAAATTTTACTGAGTTTCCTTTTCATCCCCTGAGATTTACTGCATGTGGCAAAGTCAGCCCCAAGCATTTCCAGCCCTCGAAGCACCTTTTAAAGGGAAGCAGTCTTCATGTTTCTGTCCCTCCACTTGACACTTACTGGGTTTTCATCCTAGTTCCAAAGTTTTATTGTGCCCATACCATTTTATTTAAGCTGTTTCAACTCAACTTTAGAAGTATGTATTTCTATTAATAATGGAAGATAGTGTGTGATGTTGGGTTGATATCAAAACATCTGAAAGAAATTTGCCTCCATCTTTATATATTGGCTAATACAAAATGTTTAACAAGGAGGGGTTTTGAACCCTATTACAATTGTCCTAAGTAAGTTTGTTTTTGGAGGGGGGTCTTTTCTGGTAATTCTTGCTTTGCGTAGATGGATGCAGTTTTGCGAATGAGTGCGCATTGCCCTTTGAACCCAAGTTCTGTGAGAGGGCGGCAGACACGGCCCCCTGGATGGTGGGGTGTGAATATCTCCGCTGCATAAGTAGAACACCTGATCGAAACCCGATGCAGCTGCCCAAGATGCTTTACAAAATGAAAGGCCCAATGAAGAGCGCTCATTCCAGATGCTTCCCCAGGTGCCAGAGAAAGAGCGTGTCAATCAGGCTGATGCTCTCGTGGTCCTGTGAGGAGAGTAGGGTCATCGTGGAGGCGAAAGTTCACTAGGAAAGAGCTCTGCGTTGCCCCAGCCAAGTGCTGGAACCCACACACAGGCGGCCCCTCTCTAACTTTGTTTTGTCTGAAGCACACCGAAGGGTAAAATGAAATGGGAGATGTTAGGTTTGTCAGAGGCATAATTTTTGACAGCTATGGCGATTAAACCATTTTAACAATGCTGTTCGGGAACTCCTGGAATTTTTCCCCTTTGAGGTATTTAAAAAAAAAAAAAAGTTGACCGGCAACCAACCATCTTGAATGGTTTCAATTAAGAGCAACCAGAAGAAAGAGAGATTCTGGGGTCCTTTTTAGTTTAAGAGTCTATAAACAGTCCCTTAAATAAACTGTATATTCTTTACCTCGGGCGGTCTGGGCAAAGGAGACGTAAATCAGTTAGAGAAGAAAGTTGGAAACCCTCCTGGCTGCCCAGATTTACGGCTTTTGTAAAACATCCCTACGATGTGCATGCTTATTAAGAACAGATCTGAGCCAGCGGACGGCATCCTGCATGTGTCGGAGCATACTGCTCTTAAGGAGTTTAAGTGAAACTCTGCAATTAGCTTTCATTGTTATTGACTGCACAAGCCTTCCTAGGTTTAGGTTATTCTTATGAACTCGGGCCTCTTTCCTTTGATAAACAGAGCTCAGAAAACTACCCCCAGACCTGTCAATCATTATTCGTGTGACTTTGGCAGGCACTTAAACGTCCTGGATTGAAATGTCCTTGTCAATAAAACAAGGGGCTTTTGTTGAAGTAAATGAAGTTTAATCTCCACAGTCGAGGACTAGCTTGTGAGCAGCAAGCCCCAGCGCTATCGAAGGAAGGAGAATCCTGGATGTAACTAGTGACCAAGGAACATTTAGCTTCTTTTGTCTTCTTGACATCATTTCGGTTGGTCCCCAAAGGTAGGCAATCCACTCACTGTAAGAACTAACAGTCAGCTGCTCTCCTGTGTTTTAATGTGGCCTTGAGTTCTCCAAGGACAGAACAGAAACTCAGACGTGGCCACAAACTCCCAGGTCCTGAGCCCGAGGTTATCATTTCTCTCTGATATCTAGGACGGTCTGGTGACTGTCGTCTTTACTCTTTTACATTGCCTCAGCTTTCAGAAGCAGGGAAGAGGACTCTCTGAGTCGACCCAAAGCCTTCCAGCAGCCTATCAGGTATGCCTGTCCAATGACAGACGAGGACAGTATTCAAAAAGAGATGCACGGCCGCCGCTAGCTCTGCTTTGGGCCCGCATCGATTTTGAGCTCCACCCATGTGCATTTTTTTGTGCGGTACCCATCTGGGGATGCCAGGCTTGCATTTGTGTGAGCGCTCGTCAAGTTGGGGGTGAGTATGGCTACAGCCTGTGGAAAAACTACTCTCTTTGAAATTGATACATCTGGACTTGACCTTATGACCTTGCCCTCATTAGTACATGGAGTTAATAGGCCATAGATATGGTTTGAAGAAAGAAAGAAAGAAAGAAAGAAAGAAAGAAAGAAAGAAAGA